AAGTACAGCAACTCATGTTTTTAAACATGAACACTAAGTATATGCAAGCTTAAATCATAATTTTTTGTAATCAATTTTATTTTCATTTGTTTTAAAATTCTTATTTTTAATCTAATATTTCAATTTGACAAATATGTTTTTAAAATACAGCTTTGTTACTCAAAAACATTTTGAGCTCTCTTGATTTTTTTTAATACATCAAGAAAAATTAAATTTAAGAAAATATGTAATTAATTATTACTGAAGAATTAATATGTAACTAGTACTAGAAATCATTTCAAGTGGTTTGCAGTTTGAATATTTTAACTTTTTTTAAAATATTTTTTATAAGTCATATTAGCATATAATGTGAGCATTTTTTTCTGCATTTCTCATTCATTCAATTATTGTTTCAAAATTCAAAATTGTATTTAATTTAAAATATACGTAAATTTGTAAATTAGAAATGTTTCTTATTAAACAATGATAATTGCTTTTTATTTTGAATTAGTATGTAATTAGTACTAGAAGTCATTTTAAGTGGTTAGCAACTTGAATATTTTAACTTTTTTTAAAATATTTTTTATAAGTCATATTAGCATCTAATGTGAGCATTTTTTTCTGCATTTCTCATTCATTCAATTATTGTTTCAAAATTGTATTTAATTTAGAATATACGTAAATTTCCAATTTGAGATGTTTCTTATTAAACAAAAATAATTGTGTTTCACTTTGAATTAATATGCAATTAGAATTAGAAATCATTTGAAGTGTTTTGCAACTTGATGGTTTTTCCTTCATTTTTTATTTTTTAAAAGTTGTATTAGCAAATAATGTGAGCATTTTTTCTGCATTTCTCCTTCATTCAATTTTTGTTTTGAAATTTAAAATTGTATATAATTTAAAATAATAATAAATTTACAATTAGAGTTGTTTTAAACAATGATAATTGCTTTTTCTTTTGAATTAATGTGTAATTTGTATTAGAAATCGTTTTAAATGTTTTTCTACTTGATTATTTTTTTTTTTATTTTAGATTTTTTGAAAGTCAGTTTATACCAGAAATATTATTTTTTTAATTTGAAGGTTGGATCAAATTTTTACTGCAAATATAATTTGCTTTATAATGTTCTGAATATTTTGATATTTGGAATAAAATTATTATTTATTTTTTGTCATTTAAATTACTTATTTTTAATGGTATTCAATCGCACACATAATCGAATGGTTTTATTTTGTGCAATGGATCTCATTGTTTCAGATTTTTGCAAGTTTACAGGATCAGTGGAAAATTTTCCTTAGTACCATAAAGTTATGTTATAGTAATTTTTTTTTTAAAATCGTTCAATTCTAATTTTTATTAATACTTTTTATTTATTCATTTTTTTTTTTAAAAAAAGAGGTTTTAATGAAAAAATAATTGGTCTTTAGGCCATATTTATAAGCATGACAGAACGTTTCATTAGTATCAACGTGTGGTGAAAAAAATAAACATAATATGAACATAAATATGGTTACGAAATATTTATATCCTTTCCATATTTACTTTTTTTTTTATCATTTAGCAAACAATAAGCATTTTTCTTTACAATTGGTTCATTGAAGCAATATTAAACTTTTTTTTTCTTTTCTTTTTTTGTACTTATGCTTAAATAAGGAATAAAATAATGAGATACAAATTAGTGAAAACAGTATAAAATGGTTTCTTTATTTTTATTTATTTATTTTTAAAAGTTATAATACATTTTTCTAGTACAATAAGAAAGGTTGTAAAGGAAATTAAATTTCCCTTTTATTTTGAGTGAATAGGTTTTCTTTACTGGCGTAGTATACATGCAGGCAGAATCCAAAAAATTATATTCGGCCGTATTTTGATAAATGATTTGTAAGAAAAATAAACTTATTTTTTGTTTTCTTTTAATCTTTATTCCATTTTTATCCTGTTTAGTTCGAAATGCATCCGTACCCTATGGGACTCTGGATACATCTCTCTTAAGAACACCTTACATTCAAAATATATTTTAAAAAGAATTCAAGTGGAAATAATTGTTTTTTAAACCATTTTATAGTATTTTTGGCTTTTAAGTTAATAATTTTTCATTCAATGTTTCAAAAGCATCACAATAAAAGTTATGCCATTTGTGTCTCTTAAAAAAAATATAAATTATTATTATTATTTTATTA